GTCTAACAAAGGCATGGAGTAATTCTATAGCTCTCCTTAAAAAGGAAATAGTTGTAACACTCGACAGTAAACATTCCAGCGGTCTCTGTCCCGTAGCTCGCCACATGCAGACCCTATCCTTCGAGTAAGATGATTGCCAGACGTCGATGCGTCTCCGCAGTACATGTTCGGCTAGCACGATAAATCTTAAGATTTAGTCAACTAAAGTCCTTCAAACAGACAAACAGTCTTTGTCCCAACTACGGGAAAATAGGGGAGACCTATTTTTCATCGAGCAGCGCCTCCCACTAGCAACTTTCCCTCGAGGGCGGCTAGCATCTTCTTCTAACCACCGATATGGAGATTGACCAATTAGCAACAACGCCAATTTCCCTTACTTTCTGAACGAAGGCTTTTCTCGACGAATCCGATGATCTCGTATCCTTAGACACACCCCATATAGTTTTCCTCTATGGCATCATCGGGACGGGAAACTCATTCTCTCTCACGTCTCATCGACGAAAAGAGTAACCCCCTTACGACCAGTGAATATTACGCGTCCGACTTAGATTTTGTGAGCACGTTCATCTATCATCCCGTCGACCGCGGATTCGCTATTGTGAGCACGTTCATCTATCATCCCGTCGACCGCGGATTCGTTATTGAACCTAAGATCATTGTCATTAGTTTCTCGAGTATCTAATTACCACGGTTACTTGTTCAATTCTATGATAATTATATTTGCACTAGTCGATGTCTTCTCTATTGCATAACGACACGTGTAATCCAAACGAAGATTCGTTTCACGCCTCTAACCCTAATTCTAATGTAAACCCGACATATATATATACAAGTATAGTACAGTTCTATGTACTGGTACGTATTTATCCGAACCGGCCAAGGTACAGTTTATACTTATAATATATACTCATAAATCATTTTATTATAGCACATTTTAATTAGCATTCGATTAAATGAAATCGTATTTCTACATTCAGAAATTATTACATTTTTGTAACAGAAAAATTAGCTACTTCTAAGACTAGCGACGCATTCAACACAAAATTTGCATTGTTTTTAATTATATTATTATTCCATCGGATGAACGATATAGTATTCTCTTTCTTCCACGACATTCACTTCATCCACCATTGCAGCATTGGTAGGCAGCATTAATTTGACAACGAAGAGATTTCATTCTCGACGTCGCGTCGGCGAATTAAACGTCTCGTGAAAATTCATTATTGCTGGAACGACGGCCCCGCGTTGCAAATACGGCGAATCAGTCGGCCGCTAGAATCGATGCTAATGGAATTATCCGCGCAGCTGGGCTAACTCGATTCTCCGTTCGTTTTCGCGTGGTAATCGCGTTAATATCGGTCCTGGAAACAGAAAGGTTGACCTCGGTACCTCGCCGACTTCGTTAGACGGCACACGCGTTTGCACGCCGCTTTTCGCCAGAGACGATGCGCTCAAAGTTCGTTAGGAGAAAAAGATGACGTGTTTCCTCGTTGCGCTCTTGTTCCGCGCATCAATCGAATTACCAGAGTCGTCCTCCGCAAACTGTTGCAACTTTCGGCTTTGATACTTTGCGAGTTTAGTAGTTCGGAGCGTAGGTCGAGGTTTGAGAGTCGGGGAAGTTGTTGAGTGGCAATCAAATCTCTCGTCGACGGTTAATTGCTTGTGAGTTGATCTCTACATCGTTTGTGTTTGGACTTCCTGGTTCTCAGTAAAGTTTGTGGAATGAAAGTTTTAGTAAAGAAAATGTAAGGTGAGAGAAGGAAGAAGTCGATGGAAGTTTTTTTTTTTTTTTAAAGAAAATTTATGAATTTGATTAGATTATTAATATAAATATTCGTTAGTAAATTAAACGTGGAATTGGAATTAGAAAAATGAAAAACGGTTTCTAAACGACAATAAAAATTATTTCACGAAACCGGAGGCCTTCGGTTCTCGCAATATCTAGTGACTAACAACTAATAACACCCCGTCAATCATACACACTACCTCGCTCACCCCACGTCCGACCGTTTTCGCCTCCTTTACTCGGGGTTAATTTCCAGTTAAACGCTTGGTACTCGCGAAACAGAGAAGCCAGTCGAGTAATTAATTGCCAGCTCGTAGAGGGACGACGGCCTCGGTCTTCGTTGAACGATAACGATTGATAAGTTATACTGTTATCCTTATATATAGTGAGCTACGTCTTTTTTTATTTTCCATACGTAGAACGAGCTTTACAAAATTGAGATTTAAATATTCTGTGTGATATGGAATATTCATGTATATAGGATGTTCGGATATGGATGTCAGGAAGTTTAAGGGGTGATTCTTGAAGCCGAAATAAGACGAAAATCAGGAATAAAAAATTGCGTTTTCGGCTTTGTCTTTTAGTTATTGGCAATTAAAAATCGGCCAAAATATCCCTGCACGCGAGCAAACCTCCTTACACGAACGAAAGTAGGTCAGCCTAAGCAACGGGGTACACAGTGATCCTCCAATCGAATGATACATGGACAACAGCTTACCTCGTAAGAAAAATCGCACATTAAAAAGATTAAAATCCATAACAGCATATCAAAAACCGACTCAAAATTTTCGAGTAGAGAGGATTAATGTTTCCTCTAATCCTTCGTCCTCATAAATAATTAATAAATAATAGCGCACATAAACAATGTTTATACAAACTTCATACACACACCGAAATCGTCCCGTCTGCGGGTGTCCACAGAAAAATTACATACGCATTAAGTATTTTGGAGGTGCTGCTAAGTGTGACCGAACGCTGTCTTATATGAACCACACACATTTTCCACACAAATTACTGATCACTGCATATTACAATATTCACATACATACACATAAAATAAAAAAATAACAGAACCAGAAGAAACTATAAATTTTCTGACACCCGTAGCTGAACACGCTGTGTCTATACATCATGTTTGCAGTAAATATGTTGTAACTTCTATGTATATATATTTTCAAATTGATTTCATTTTTGTCCAATGAGGACAGTCGTGTCTCTTTACGGTGCAACCGAAATTTCAGTATTTTTTCATAAAAGATTTCTATGAGTATTGGGACAGCTTGGCGAATAACTAAAAATTGTTAAAAACAGTCGTTATAAATGTTTCGAACTTTTCATTGAATTTGATCGCATCACTAGCTATCCTGCTCGTGGCAGGTACGCGTAACGTATTCGTACGTTCGTGGAATAGTAAGAACGACCTAGGGTTGAAGAAGGAGGGGATGGAAATCGAAGAGGAAGTCGACAGAACGATACGCGTAATTTTCGCTAATGATCGTATTGGTAATTAGTCGAGGCCTTTCTATAAATCTTCCTAACTAATTACCCTTTACACTCCCAACTCTGGAAGAAGACCACACGGGTCGCGTGGTTCGAGTGAACCTCGAAGCTAAACACTAATTATTATCCTCGTACGCGATAAATTAAACTGCCAGACGCCATGGGTATCGTTGGGAGAGTACGTTTCGCGTACTTATAGCTCGCCACGGACCGCGTTACAAGAGAAGGGACACCGAACACATTCGCCCGGTTGCCCTTAGCAAATTCAATTTACTCTATTGCTGTACTACGTTTCTCCCTCGCCACAGGACGCTGAGTACGTATATTCCTTTGTACGTCTTTATTCAGAGTGAAGAACGTGTTCTGGGAATATTCGAATGGTTTGCTGAAATCACTGATGGATTTTGTAGTACAGTTTGGTTTTGTAACATCGGTAGCGTTATATCTCTCAGGAGAGGATGCTTGATGCTAGATTTACTATTTGTACGTGAAATGTTCAATGGCATTAACGAGCGATTATTATTCAATTAATCAAGGCTTTTCTATTTGCAATTTACGTTGAATTGTACTAATTGTATTAATTTGATCCAAGAAGAAACAATATTTGATAGGGTAATTTGAGAGATAGATTTATCGTTGTATGTTAAAATTTCCTCTACTTTCGATTTTGTATTTTTAAATTATTATCACGATTGTAAACATCATCATCGATAAAAGAACGAAAGATATTCTGAGAGTATTGAAGTAGTTTGGTGAAATTGTTAATGCAAAATCTGCGATGTTCTTTTTTCTTTTTTAATTTGTAACATTACATTGGGAAATGATAGTTTTATAGCATTTATTGCAGATCAGGTTAGTATCATAAAGTAGATTTTTAGCTGATTATGTCATAAAACATAAAAATAACAATATTACAGTGAAAAAGTGTACGAAAAGCGGAAGGTTCTAGCGATGGGAATTCAAACCCGCGATCTTCGGGTTCATAGCTTCACTGGTCAGCCGCTTTAACCATCTATAATCAAATTTTTCTTGACTCGCAAGAAAAAAGGATTGATTACAGTTTTTCATTCTGATGTGAGAGATAGGAACTAATAACTAGTATAAATTGCTTCCTGGCAAAGTAATGATACAATGATAAAATAAGGTGGTACGGTAATAAGCGTGCAAAATAATATTGAAAAAAATGCGGATACATAGATCATTACGTTCGAGTCACACGAGGTTATAAAAGGTTAACTACAGTACAATTTAACCTCGAATTTTCAAATTTTATTTTTGTATCTATTAAATTACGAATAATAAATTAGTTGACTCTTGAACCACATGCGGTTTATGGACATTATCTTTACAGTAAAGGTCCGTGTATAAAATCCTTGATTGACCAACAACTTGCTATAATCTATTATTAACCAAAAAAAAAAAAGAAAAAAAGAAAAATCGTCTTTAGCGACGAGAAGTGTGAAAACTAAAATCAATTTCTAAATTAGCGACGTAACTGTCCCCTAGCGTTCCCTAGTAATAGTCGAAAAATTATAAAATTCGTGTAATGGAAAAATTAGATATTTCCAAGACTAGCGATGTGTATGATCAAACATATTTGCAGCTATAAATTTTTCTCGACAGTTGAACTATTGCCATTAGCAAGAAACCTTTTAAAAGCGATTAGTTGGTGTCCGTGTTGCTAACGGTCCTATCTTTCCGTTTGTTGTTTCAGATTCCCAAATGGAGCAAGGGTACCGGTCCGAGGTCCAAGAAAGGGCACTGGTTGTATCCTTGCAGATGTTCAATCTGATTTTAGAACGTGGCGTGTCCTTGCTCAAGTCTCAGTTGGACAGCGGCGAAGAGTCGAGGATGGTTGTTAGCGAGGACATGCAAGTCCTTTTACCAGCTATCAAGGTATTTCCGTTATCTCTGGCATATCTAATGGGCCTCTATCAAGATCTCTTTTTCCGAGAAACTTTCACCGTACCGGGAAAACCACGCGTCATTCTAATTGCACAGATTTTAATCAACGTGTCTAATCTCGAGAAAAATGGCAAGAATAAAAAGAAATAGAAACATAAAACCACGTGTATTTATACGAGAGATTCAGATAGTTATTTTGATCTTTTACCGCGTTTCGCGCAAATATGGCGTGTAATGTATGCGGCCGAAGATTCCTTCGCGCGTTATCCCGTGCATCGATCATCGATCGATCGATCAGAAGAATCTTGACTCGAGAAAGTCAGCCTCCGTCGAGGATGATGAACAATCGTCGTTATGAGTCAACTTGGATTGTCGTATCAGCGAGGTCTAAAAATAACGTGGAATGACTTAGCGGTCAATCAACAGCGATGTTGTAAATTGAATTTTGATTAATCATTTTAGTTGGATAAACGGTATAATGAGTGTCGAGAAAATCGATGCGTAAATTGATAATATATACAGGATGAAGTGTGTTAAACGAGGTTTAGGACTAACAATCGTGTAAATCCGTGCGTCACCTATTAGTTTTTATTGTAAACTAAGAATACGAGTAAAAGATAGAAAGTTATTTTTAAATTCACTTTATTATTTTCCAAAAAAAACAAAAAAAAAAACAATGTTTTTCCTCTTCTTATTCTTCTATTTTGATTGTATCTCATTTTCATTGATCTATGAGTCGAATGTCACAACTTGTGAACTTCAAAAGATCCCGTTAAGCTAAGTTTATACAACGGTCAAGAACAAGCGCTTTTTTCGTGAGATAGGATTTGAGCGCTTTGGTCATTTGGGTGCCAACACTCAAATGGTACGTGACTCAGGGCTAATTTTAGGATATTGAATAGCACGGCTGTTCGTATTATACTATTTCTTCACCCATCCACTAACAACGTCGGATTTCTGTCCGTTTTCCACTATCGCTAATCTATTTACTAATCTACTATACAAATCATTCTTGACAATGCAACCACGTTCGACATAATTTATTATCATTTTTAATCGACACGCTTTAAGCCAATCACGTGATTCACAAGCTTCCGTATGAACGTATATCAATTTTTCGTTGAACTCGATCCGATCGTAGCTTGTCGACATTCTTGTCATCGTTATAATCCCGAGCCGTGAACGTGTATGCGCACGCGCGCGCGCATAAGCGGTCGAAGATTTATGAAGCAACGGTTGGTTCGCACCCACGCAAGATTCGTCCGTCGCGCCGGTGGCCGTTGTCAGGCCCAGGACCTGGTTCGTTCGTGTCTCGACTTATTATGCAACCTGGCGTTCGCGATTAATGCACCTATCGCACGTAAGCTATGCACGCACGCTCCATCGATAAAGGTCAACCGTATGACAAACCATTGGAACCGCGACATCACCCGTTTCTTCCTGGTTCTCGAGCTGGTATAGCCTTCGAGGATGTGCACCGTTTCGCGATACCGTCGTTGTTAAGGATTTTGTGATGAGCTATGTCTCTGAAATGGGTTCAGTTACAGTGTTTTTCGTTTGTTAGAGTTTTCTGGTATAAATATCGTATAAAGAGTTGATTATTCTGTCTGCGCTTTAGCTGTAAAGTGAAATATCGATAGAATTAGCAGAGTGGTAAAAATAATCGATCTGAAATTTCTATAAAAGGAACAAATTTCCAATAAAAGAGATCTCCTTCAGATGCGTGTATAACGATGGATTTGTAATTTTTCACAGAGAAAGGTTTCTAATAGAAAAAAAGGTTCTTGTAGACTTATTACGGTGCACAATGTTTCACAAGTCTATTAGATTTATTACAGTGCATTCGACTGCTAATCCAAGTACATCGCGTACGAAGAACTTCCGTTACTAAAGTCATCGCATAATTGAGAGTGGATCTTCCTGGAAAGAATTTCGATCGCTATCGTAACACAGGAATAATAACAACAGTTTCGCTCTCGTCTCGCGTAAGACCATTAATATTAGCGATAAAGTAGACGTGATACACGACTGCTGTTATACGATTCACTTTCCGGAGGATGGATGAAGTAAAATGTCTCCTAGATATTCTATAAATAGAAACAGTTTCCAACATTCCAACATAGTTTCCTTTCACGTTGAATCTTTTTGTTCTAGATCTGGTGCGACTGGATGCTTTGTCACAGCACCGTTTGGAATCCACCACCATCTTGCACGGACTATAGAGTCGGGTAAGTCATTTAACAATCTTTTTACATTTCCTTCTTTTTCTATATGATGACTCGCGAAAGTATTTGAACGCTTATTCTAGCAAACTTTTACGCGTATATTGTATGGGTTCTATAAAATATATCGAAGTTCCATTAACGATATAACAGACGCGATTGTCACGGTTATATGTATTGGTAAAACTTGGAGCCAATCTAAGAGTGTAGATAGAAGTTCCAAAACATTTGCTGCAAACATAAATTCGACCGAACCTCGAAAATCCACAACTCCCAACATTTACGACCGAAGTTACACATAATAGGGGAAGTTCTGGCGTTTTAGTCGGTTTTCGTCGTTTAAACGCGAATAATTCTCGCATGTACGGCTATTCGAAACTTTCTCGTTATCATCATGCAGCTGGCACGCTACCATTAAATGCCATCAAGGGATAGAAATTTCTCTAGGCTTGGCTGTACGTATTAGGATCAGCCGGTTGTAGAAGGAACATGTGATATATCTTGAACTCGCTGATCCTGTGGTTTTGCGGTTTTGTGGTCCGAATCCTCGCTCTCTTCGAATGGAAGAGAGAAAGAGAGTCCAGTCGGTAAGCGCGCGATGCATACGCTCGCCAGCAGATTACGCCACGGCCACAAATTATTCATTGCAAGAGATTCAATTTATTTATTTATTTCTTTTTTTAAATCTTTGTTGTATCTTTTTTATAGTTACGCTTTTTAAGAGCGTAAAAGGAGCAAGTATCTAATCCGAGAACCAAATAAAAATATGGTATCGCTGATATAAAATTATATTTTAAAATTTTTCCCTTATAAAATTCGCAAAGTATGACTTATCATGCTTCTTTCCGTGATATTTAACTAAAATTCCATCGATTCTTGATCTGGGATAACGCGAAGCTTCAACAACCTTCTCTCGCATAGTGAAGACCAAGTCGCCCTTAATTCGATGAGGAACACGCACGCAACGTCGTCTTTATACGCTGCATTTGTCAAACCGATTAATCTCTCGAAATTCTAGCGCCTGAAAAAGAGAGAAATAGAGAGACAGAAAGATATTCGTAGCTTATAGCGCGCTCGACTATGAATTCATGTTGACACTTCAGGTGTTGTGAATTATGGCTGTTGTGTTGGACTATTAATTCTCTTCGTGGTGCATCAATTTCTCAGACCAAGGAAGTTCAGGATGCTAGAGACATCATGCGCGACGACGAACGCTATCATGGTCTGTGCTCGTGATTTATCGCGAGTGACAGCACGAGAAATTTCGATGAAAACCGCTTAATTGTTCGAATGAACTTATCTTCGTGGGGGTCTCGTCTTCTGGGATGCTTGATCGTTCGTGCGTGTCGGTGGTTCAAAATAATTAATGATGATTTCGTTACTGTTTTGTGACGAAGCATCATCATTTGTACGAATGAGATAATTATAAATATCATCATGATCAGAAAACCAACACAAATAGACCTATCGTGTTTCTTCTTGCGGTCTTTGAACGTAAAGCAAATCCACAAGTGTAAAATATGATATACCACACTTTTTATTTGTTGCACGTGAGCAATTTTTAAACCTAATCAATCAAATATTAGCAAAACTGTCTTAATGATTATCATATTAATAGATATCAGGTGTATAATTATCGTTTTCATGGAAATTCATGAATTTCTAAAAGACGTATTATATATCTTCAAACCGTATAAGTTATTTCCGTTTTTAACTAAGCTAAATCACATTAGAATAAAAAAATGTAATCTTCACTTATGATAAAATGTCGAATTCGACTCCTATCCGACAAATCTCTCTTCAACATCGTCCTTCGACTGGAAAAGAGAAATGTGCAGCTGGGTAGAGTAGCAAACGTCCGTTAAAGTATCTTAGCTAGTGAACCTGTTCCGTTCTCGAAACGTCGAGCGTGGGAGTGACTCATCGAAATAAAAGTACACAGGATACCGATGCGATGGCAATGGAAAACACGGCCAGGTTCGAGGAAACGCCGATCAACGTGTAATTATTTTTTTGCGTTCTCCTTCTCGATGGCTGACAAAGGAAAGCCATACCATGGAATCGCCGGCGAGGATCGACGCGACAGGTTGTTAGCGATCACGGTCCAGCTTAAAGGAACGAGGGTCTCGTCAGTGCGCACGTGAAACGATAACGTGTCTCGTTTCGACGGTTATTGAAATTCGATGTTGCCGAGAAAGGAGCGAGCGATTAAAAAAAAAATCAATCCGAGGAAATAAATGAGTTCGCAAAAATAAGAAATCGCGTCAAAAACCGCAGTCTAATTATGGTTGATTGTGATTACAAACGAGTCGAAGATTATAAAAAGCGAGGAGGACCGTTTTAGACGTGCGCCGGACGTCTTTTCGTCGATGATTCGAGCACGATCGGAGACAAGGCTTTTTATTCAGGATCGAGCGGGGACCGAGGGAATGTATCGATCCTCAGGATCTTTCTAACGAGACGAAAGAAAAAAGACCGGTCTAAAAGAGAGAAAACAGTCGTGCTTGGCCGACTGATGCGATCTATCGTCCATTAAACGAGTTTCAAGGCCCCTTTAGTCCCGTAACTGCGCGAACACTCGCGATCCAAGACTCAGCCTCTTTGCGCAACCAACCCAACCAACCAACTCGACCAGCCCAACCAACCTAACTTACCATACTATACTATGTCCGCCTGGATAAGTTAATTATTGTTGCTCGTTAGCGATTAACAATTATGCGAGCGAAGCGTTTCCTTGGCAAGGACGCGATCGTAACATCGTCGATCGTCTTCCATGTCCTCCTCGATCCTCTTCTTAGCTCGTTGAATAACGTGAATTTGCTCTACGATGTTATTTATAGAACTCGGATCGCAATTAATCTGCCGTCGAATCGCCACTCCGTCGATCCCCTTGCCGCTCTTTTTTCCTTTTCTCTCTCTCCTTCCCTCCCTCTCCTCCTTTCTTTCTATCTCTCTCCCTCTCCTTTTTTCACCTTTTCCTCTTTTTTTTATCCTCTTCTTCTTTTCACCTCCATTCATCGAGGATAGCAACTTTGATCTTCCCACCGCGCGTGCCTGAGAGCGTGTAATTGCGAGATCAATCACTGTCACCGTTTTTTTCATGTCCTCCCACTATTCCCTTCTTCCACTCAAACTTCTCTATTTATGCTCTATGGCGTTGTCTGCCTTTTTTATGCTGGAAGGTTGGTCCAGTTTGAGGTTCCAGTGTTTGATGGCGTTCTTGAGTGTCTTGCGAGGGAGAAAAGAATGTAGGGAATATTTATTGGAGGGAAGCCATCGATAAAAATGTGATCTTTACGGTTTAACCCAATGGGAATGTTGTGTTAATGCAACATTTCGTTTCTAATTCTTGTCGGTCAATATACATTATATTTTGAGTTCTGTTTTTTTAACATCTGAGTATGAAAGAGAATTCCAGAGATCTGTTTAATATTCTTTCCTATCTTAAGACGTAAGACTTGTAAAATTGTGAAAAGAAGTTCTATATACCTATGATTTACAACTTGTTAATTTACTAATACAGGGTAACTGCATCCTGGAATATGGACACTTGATTGTGAAAGCTTCCCGGAAAAGCGAAACAGGCTTTTCTTTTCAATGGTACTAACGTTAAAACATGACAAAATTAATAATTAATTACTGAGAATTAGTTATTGAATTTGTTAAATATAAGAGACATAATATTATTAGAAGTTTAGGTCTTGAAGTCATGGTAAAAAATGTGAAAAAGATCAAATGGAACGAGTTAAAACGAAATCTGAGATACTTTTATTTTTACTGTGAGAAATGAATATTTATTTAAACAAAAAAGACAAACAAAACAATTGTTCTCTATTTTTGTTATTTATGTTACATTATATTCATTTTCTTCGTGTTCTACATATTGATATCGTGAATGACGCATGCAAAGTACATTTTTTGTGACCTCAATGAAAACAACGATTACATTGAACTCCTCTTACTCTGGACTTACTCTTCGCTATTATTATCTCTTTTGTAATTTCCGCTATAAAATAAGTGTAATTCTGTATCATCATCGTCAGTATCAGCATCATTGACAAGTTCCATATTATGCATCGCTAAACGTGTTCCGTATTGGCTACATACGTATTTCGACAGAAAGAAGGTAATTGTACTAAGAAGAAAATAAACTTAACTATAAATTTCTTTCGAACACTTAAAAACAGACGTGTTAGATGATAAATCATGCAAAAGTAATATCTTACCTTCGCTAAAAAATTTCACTACTTTTAACTCGCCTTTCAAAAAGTTTTACACGCTTTCAAATACAAGAATCAACTGTATTCAATGACAGATTTCCTAGCGAAGCGCAAATGTGGATAAGCTTGTCTTTTGCTTTTAACGAAATATTTTACTCTGTTATCGATTGATTTTTTTAATTATTTGCCGAGATATTGCAATGTTCCACGTTAGATTAAACACGGTAACTCTAGCGGTCCTGGTTTTAAACACACAACTTATCCCAATCACGATATGTACACAAAGTAGCCTATAATAACTTTCAATTCGCAACAAACATGCTACTGTATCTCTTCTGCACGCGTTAATCGAAGGCATGCAGTAATCGTAGCATTTGCTAGTCAGCCATTCACGGCACCTCGTCTCCGTAATTCAAGTATTTTTCCGAGGAACGCGTTAATTTTCAATAAAGCCGCCGCAGAAGCGGTCGATAATAATTTAGCGATAAAGAGGTTCGCCGATTGGACGACGAACGGAAACGTGTGCAGCACGCGGAGAGAGCGCAATTAACGAATGACCTTTCATGACGGCAATCGATTAATCCCGGCTTGGAGCTAAGCGTCGTGCGCGTTTCTTTTACATCCGCTTCTTCTTCTTCTACTACTACTTCTTCTTCTTCTTCTTCTGCTTCTTCCTCCTCTTGTTTTTCTCCTTCCTCCTTGTCTTTCTGCTTGCGCGTTTCTTTATCGCCGCCTCCAGGGCTGTGCACGATAGCATCGAATGATCGATAGCTTGGAAAATGATCCCCCGCGCACTGCCATTCATCGCGGTGAAAATAATTAAACGGACGACTTTGGATTTACAGTAACACGGAAGTGGCCGATGGATACGCGCTCTCTAGCGAGAACGTTCGCGCAATCGTCAGAGAAACACCGGTGGACCGACATTTCGTATATTTAACAATGTCGCCGATACGACGAACGCGAAGATCGTGAAATTCTGATGAAAACTTTCTTGTACAATTGAGCTAATATTATCAGTGAAATTTTACGAGTCACAGGTTACAAATTATCCGTGCTATAAATTCTTTTGCATAATAGCAGTAAGCTAGTAATAACGAAACGAGTAAAGTCACTTTTACAAAGCACAAGCTGTTTAATTGTCTTATGTGATGTAGTTGGTTCGTTGTTCTGACAGCTTATTGAATCATTGTTGGAATATTTATTGCAATAGGGAAGTATCATCCGGTTGAATCCTTCCGGTTTCTAGTTACGCGATTTCAACCGATAGCTAGACACCTCTAACGATGGGAATTTGACTCGTTCCTTATTTACGTTGAACGAAACCTCTGGTCTGGTTGCAGGCCACCTGGGGACGCCTGGAGCAGGCTGGCCATGATGGTGAACCTACTGGAAAAATTGAATTACTCCAGAACGATTCTTATCCAGGCCAAGGACGCGGAGGGTCGAGAAGACGGTGAGTGAATTTATAAACTGATATCCCCGAGGGATGCTGTAAAACACGCTTTTGAGATCGCTTTAATCCATTTTCGTACCTACGATAGCTTGCCTTTTTTTAAATTCTCTGCCTTTGTATGTTCGAAACATATAGAATTTTAACTAAATAGATCTCTCGATTTTTCTATCATTATCCTTGTTATTCCTTAATCACTTCGCAAGACAATCAGATTTTGCGCAATCTTACATCCTCTATAAAAATACAATTATAACTAGTATCTAATAAAAAAAGGAGACGGTAGAAAAATTCCATCTACACATAATAGGCTGATATAATTCAAATGTTTTTTACTTGCAAATAAAATTTCTCGTAAATTGATGCATTTCCTTTCATAAATAGCTAAACGCTGTTGATTTCTTCAACATTAAAAATTCCCAACAAAAACATCTTCTTAGTAGAACATCCCAGGACCGATTTAGTTCGATCATCGTTAATACACGTTCAACTAAACCGAGTGATTCTAGAAAACAAAGTGCAGGTTAGAAATCCATCAACGAACCAATTCAAGCCTACCACTTTTGATTCGATCACAGTAATTCAGACACCATTCCTACCACCCGTTCAGCATTCTTAAAACATCGTTGACACGCCTTGACATGACGATGATTGGCACAAACACAGCAGATAACGATCAGATGTTCTGTTAAATAATGATCTTGCTGACGGCTGGATCTGCCGTTAGTTGGCATTGTTTTTCGTTACACGGCCACGAAATCAAAATGCTATCTTAATTAGGATTGTCTAGACTTGAGTTTGGTATATCGACTGCCAAATGTTTCCGGATAAATTGTAATGTCTTACGTGGTTAAGACGAAGAATAATTGAAATTTACATAAAAAAACAAGATTTTTAGTAGTCATGGAGTTGCTCTAACGAAGCAATGCGATGATTATTGTTTATTATATTGTTCCTTTTATTTCACAAAAGAATCTAATAAATGATCGTGTTTCTTTTACAAATTCGCACAAAGTCTTACAAGAGAAGCTGGTCTGTTACAATACTTTTATCAGCATGTTTGATCCTAAACATTGGTCACGATAACATGCGAGTGGTTCAGAACCTACATCGATCAACAACTATATTATTATTAATAAATTGAAAAACAGAAAAGGGTAATAATATTGAAAAGGAACTTCGAAATTTACCTTAGAGTTTTCTATTATTTATATCATCTCCTTCTAATAAACATTCTCAAGAAAGTCAATGATCTTGTTTTTTAATTGAACATTAATCTTGTGCTTATATAATGAAATTGAGAAAAAGCGGATTCGACCAGTTTGGCTTCTGAGAGACTCGTGCATTGAAATCACTGAAATCGAATTGTGTCCTCTGCCACATAATTATCAAGAAATTTCCCTTCAAAGAAAAATGAATCTTAAATATTTTATCTACTCAAATAAGAAAACGTGTAGTTTACTTAAGCATTTGTTATCTAAATCAAAGACATCTATCGATTCGGTACCGATCGATAGCGTTATTCCTTAATGTCCGATCACGCCTATACGGACATACTCTGTAATAATAATCCGTGGCTCTGAATACATATATCGAACACGAGGTATAAGATAGGTTGATGCTCTTATTTCAAATCCACAATTTTAATAGAACTTTACTATCTGTGGGCTTTACTGTAATGATACGGCATGCACGCCATTATAAATGTGAGTACGAGCAAAGCAAGTGGAGTAACCGTATTATAATTGCACGACTAATGGCCGTAGGAATGCAATCAGAGATTCAGGAACTCGGTTTTTGTCGAACGGATTTTACTGATATCGCCAGTCATACGTTTATTACTAATGTCACGTCAATAATTCGCCGACTAATAGTATCACGCGGATGCACACAGAGGAATCGAGCTTTTTGTTTGTTCTCGTTTCGCATCGGTGCTAAATTAATATTCCGGCAGTGATTTGCATGGTGAACGTTACACAGGAATGCGTATCGTAACAATAGTAATCTTGGACAGGGTTGATAAGAGGTTGCGTGTGTAACCGTGCTGCACTTTTCATTTACGAAGAACGTGACTGGAGTGATCGAAGAGAAGAGAGAGTTCTTTTTGGGAAGAATAAATGGGGGATTCTGTCAAGTATGGAGAGTGTTGATTAGTTTGTTTTATGGATAGAATATACAGTGTACTACGCAGTTAAACAGAGTACTGGACGCTGAATAAATAACTTATTATAGTTTGCGAATACGAAGCATAGTTTGTGACGAAAGAAATAAAATTTCCGAAAGAAAGGGATACATATTTTTGAAAATAAAGAACTTGTTCAACGATTATCTGACTAACACGAAACGCCTGAGGGTAGTTTGACACGATGGGAACTACGATGGGAATGTAGTTTGCAAAATAGAGAAAGTAAACTCAGCTTGATCGGTTCACCGGATCGTTAGTCATGAGATTCTGTTTGACATGAAATTTGAAGTAATTAAAAGCGAATTAATTTTCGCTCGATCTTTAGTTAGATTTAGTAGTGATCAATTCGAAGACGGAATGAAGTAGCAGCTGGATGAGATTATAATTTTAAGTATAAAACAGGATGAAAATAATACAAGTGGAAAGTAATTAGTAATTATTGAACGGAGTTCTCAGACATGTAGATAGTTTTATAATCGAGGAGTTAACTAATGGTTGTACACAGGAAGTCCACAAAAGTGTATTAATTTCCAAAGATAAAAATATGAATACGAAAGATTTTTTGAATCAACAGACCTCGACGATTCTTCCTACAAGAATCGCTATTCTTCTTGAATTTAACCCAAATCTACACCAGAAATATTTTCAACCAAAAAAATCTGTTCAACTTGATCGAAATCAAAAGAATCTTCGACTTAAAATACCTGGGAACTAGTTGAAACCAATACGCAACTTTCTCAAACATATCGAATTGTCTCTCCAAGCATTTTATTGACGAGAGAGAAATTGTCGGATCGAACGGTCTGCCATCGTTCTCCCTTAGCCTCAAAAATCTCTCTTTGTGACTTAGCAAACGTCACCCACGTCATTCTGCTGTTCATTACGCGTTCTGACCATTCCGATGCCGCAATTCCCGAGCGAACGTTCATGTGCCAGTGACGCGACGATATCCCGCGATAACGCGTCTCTCTCGAAGTCCCCTCTGGACCAGTCGTTTAATCGAAAAACCTAAGTTCCTCGAACGGTGAAGCCTCTGGCCGTGTGTTGACCCGCGGATAGCCGCCGGTTACGTAACGGTGAATCCGTTCGATGTGACCACTGCAGTGCCATATACACTCAAAGTCTTGGCCGACCGATTACGAGTCGCCAGCCAATCGTTTTCCAGCGTTTGCTCTACAGGAATACGCCAAGTTACCGTGTCTGTTCTTTTGAGTTTGCTTTGCTCCCTTTTTCTATTCGTTTATGCCACTTCAATTCTTTTTGTAATGTATTTTAGATTATAGGAGACTTCGTAGCAGATTATAGATTTTGTAGGTGCATGTTTAAATTATGATTTTTGAGTTCGCGTTGGATCTCAATCTCTTTGATCATAGTTTCTTGAATTTATTTCTACATTTGCGAATTCCAAAAGTTTCCAGGATATTCAAATAATTGTCATTGTTGAGCATATTCGTACTGGACTTCAAGATTTTTAAAGATATTTAAACGATAGTTTTTAGCTCATTTGTGACATATTAAAGTACATCTGAAGATATTTAAAATATAGTATTCGGGCGTTGAAGCGAGTTGAATTGAGTTTTTCTTCGTTTCCCTTAGTTGCGTCGTTTTTCTGGCAAATCGATGATATAATTTGTATGAAAAACTTGGGATATTCTTTGGAACAGATTGCCAAATCGTCCAAAAGTACATGTCAGTAATATAAAAATTTCATTGTTCAGCAAGATATTATTATTATCGTTCAAAAATTCGGATATTTTTCGAACAAATGATATCAAACAATATTCGAATTGTACAAATAAAAGGATATTTAGGCATTAGGAAGGAAGTTCGTGTTACGAGTTAATGAAACAGGTGTGTTGATGCGTTGGATGTATTTCGTATGCAGCATGATTTATGAATGCACGGTAATGTTTCATAGGGTGAAGTTACACGCTAATACACAGGTCGTGTTGAATTGACGCTTCTAAAGATGGAGAATTAAGGGGGATTTTGGGTTAATTGATTCCTTGGCTCAAATTCCGCGGATTTTTCTAGGTTTGTCGCGGAGGTTACAACTACAAAGATTGATGGTAGTAACGGTCCTTATAAAAAAATGCGAAATGAATTTTGAATAAATGGGAAAATAAATTTTAAAGTAATCCTGCTGACCTCCGATAGCTGACTGTGGGAACTGTGGCGTGTTGAACTTGTATCTATAGTACTTCTTCAATTCGTTAAGTATTATAAGGTATTTATGTGGATTACCCTATACTGGAGAAGAAACTGATAGTCAAACATTAAACATAATACAAAGTTACGAAATTAAGCGCAAAATCAAAATCTATCGCGTTGGTTACAAAATATTTCACAAAAATGAACAAGGGTTAATAATAAATATACCATCACGTTACAGATGTAATACTATTTCTAAAATTAATCTCTATTCGTTACAACTTTAATATTTTACAATACTTCGTATAATTCTTTCGTATTCGTGGCAGTACTTTATTATATAATTTTCCATTTCTCTAACTTTCATTGCGATTCGAGAAATAAACAGGTCTACCAGTGACGAGTCAGTGATTCAAGCGAAAATTTATAATCGATGACAAATCCTCGGGATAATTATGATCGACGCGTTAATGAATTTACCGGCTCAACGAGCATCTAGCTGCGTTTCAATTTTTTCACGCTTTACTCCGTACTACGATGGCAAATCATGCGAATTGCCGATTATTTGTGCGATCTTAAGGAGCATTCATCGCTGTCAATCGAAAGTTTTTCGATATCTCGTCATTTTCACTAATTCGCATCGCCTCGATGATATAATGAAAAATGGCAACTTAAAGGCTTTGTAGCTTCATCGTTGCCGATGATATTAAATCACAGTATTACGAACTTTTCTTCGTAATTCCATGTAGAATCGAGTCTTCCAGAGTTAGAACTAGGTCTGCCCTAACGGATCTAGACTGCTGGGAAAGAGCGTTCCAGTTTCAAGGCGCGTCCTTGGTCGTGTTATACTTACTTTTGAGACAGGTTTACACGCGATAACAGTACATAATTCATAGATCGTATCGTGGTACGTATCGACGGTACAAGGTGGACCGTTGTTAATTCATTAAATCACGGTTGTTCTCCTTTGAAAAGTGGACGAAAAAGTGTTTAGCACAACGTCCGACAGTGTTCTGTTATCCGCTATGGATTATCCATCTCGAGTCGACGGAGTCGGTTAGATGGGAAGTTTATGGCTTGATACGGCGACTCGATTGCATTATGTTAAGCAGTGCATGGTTACGTGCTTTGAATAGAACTATAGTTGTTACTCGAATTTTTGATGAAATGTTTAGATCTATCGTATATGGTATAGCATACAGTATAGAATAGTATAATATATACTGTATAGAAAAATGAACATAAGTATTCCAAATAATATTACTGTGCTCAATGTTCGATTAATTGAACTTGTAGCGGTTAAGTCCATCATGTAATAGTGGACTTCTATTATATGAACGAAAAATAATAGGTAGTAAGAAAAATTGAGCAGTTATTATACGAACTCTAGTTCTATGAAATGTTAAATGAAATGAAAATATTAATACAGACAATTCGATCAGTTCTCGTTCTTTATTGGGACATAAAATTTTTCCCTCGTAACTTAGTACAATTTTATATTACTGTCTCAAAGGGATTTTACAAGCGTTCGAATACTTTGTGAGCTCCAATTTAATCGACTTTAATCGACTAATCGATATAGTTCAACTACGAGTGAAGTAGCAAATACCAAAAAATTCTTTCTCTTCCAAAAAGGCAACCAATCATACGCGAATGCATCAACTATCAAGCAGTCATCTATTCCGCTTTCAGTTAGCACGAGAACTCCCAATCCTCCTACGAATACCGCACCACATACGCGCGCATACCAAGGCGACAAATCCATTCTTCCCGGTTGAAAAGGAACAAAACCAAATCCCCGGAGAAAAATCACGAAACATCGAAAGGCTAAGCAGCAGGAACGTCCGGTTCTGCTGGATCGCGTGCAAGCGAGAACGCAGCCGGCGATACGATTCGAAAAAGGAACTGAGACAGTAACGGTACATCCAGTAACGTGTGCCGTAATGCCAATTTGTTGGCTCGGATGGTTTCTTGCGTTCCCTTGTATTCCTCTCTTTTCCCTCTTTCCATCCTTCGTTGTCCACTCGACGATCTCGATACGTTTTCTCTCTTCTCTCTCGATTTACCCGCGCGTTACACCCGAGGCACAATGGATAAATTGGACAAAAGGAGAAGAGGAGAAAAGGATGGTGGCTGCTGCGTTGGGCGGGCCAATGCGTTGCGAACGTGCCCACCGGACCCGAGAAAGAATGTTATTGTGAAGATCATCCAAGATGTTTCTTCCTCTCTTTCCACTCTTCTTTTTTCTCTCCCTGTTTCATGAGTTCTTTTTTTCTCTTACTTTCCTTCTGCTTTTTCTTTTTGTGTTGGGCAATGCTGGTCTTCGACCGGCTCGAGAAGATAGGTTCTCGCGGACTCAAGCAGAGATGCTGTTCAGACGTTCGATGGAGGAAAGAGTTTACGCTGCGTCATGTTACTAGTGGTTGTTGTTTGATGGCAGAGTTTCGTGTGAGATTATGATGTTTCAAGGGCTGGTTGGATGGTATACCTACCGGGCTCCGAGTTAAGCTTTTTGGTTCTGCAAACTTATTTTGCTCCTCAGAGGTTTGGGATCGTTTGATGAATGAGAGAACTTGGATATTTTAACTGAAAAAATAAGGATGGATCTTTGAAATTTCATGTATGAGTTAAGTTAGTAGATAAAATTGCAACGAAGAAGTTGGGTCATTTACAACTCATATACAACCCAGAATAGTACTAAAAACTTTACATCTTAGATTCTATTACACACAGCATAATTATTAAAAATAATAGCAAGATATAAGCAAGATAAAAGTACATATATTTTTTAAACTTCCTATTGTCTTTATATCTCTATGAACTTGTCTCCTTATTTTTATATTTCAATATCTTCTTTTCATTCATCCCTAAAGTCATGCCACGCGGTTTAGAATACTCTGTTCATGAAAGTATGTAACCTCCGCGTCGTTAGCACGAATGATACGGGTTTCGCATGATCGCGAATGCCACGACACCTATTTGGAATTCGCATTAACAAGGCGAGCACGCTCTCTATTTCGCCTGTGCGATTAGGTTTCTATATTTCCTTGCACCAGGCTCGGGACGAGAGCCAGGCTTTAATCTACCTCGCGCGAGGTCCTCCGGATGATCGATTGCGAAGGCTGCCACGCTGATCCTCCTAACTCGATCCTCCTCACGTTCCGCGCGAGTTCCCGGCCACGCTGACCATGAACTTCGTGTAATATTCGCGATAAATGCAGCCTGTGTAAAGCGATTCAAGCCGCGGTCAGCCGAATATTAATGGCGACTGGCGCGTTGCATTCGAAATCGCTGGTAGTCGCAACATCATCCTGGGGATGTCGAACACGAGCGAATCATGAATTTGACAATACGATGCAAGGTATCTATCACGGTTCCATCAGATTTTGGACATTGTTATAATAGATAGGTTTGGGTATATATATGGTTGGGGTATTTCGAGAGTTGCTAGGCGTTCGAGTATCAGATATTGAAATTTTAGATAGGCATATTGAATATTGAAATTTTGCGGGATCGAATTTAGGGAGTTTGATTCGACGGAAAAGGGAAAGTTTGTTAAGGCAACTATGTAAACTTTTACTTCATGAAAATTGCTGTCTAGAAAGCCGTATAATGTAATTCCATCTTCTTTCAAACATTGCGGATTAATAAATTGTATATTGTAAAATTTATTACATAAAACAAATACATATAATCAAATTCAATAGCTGTATAAGATATTGCTCTATTAAGTACCGATTATGTTAAACTTCATAATTCAATTTTGGCTGTAAAATCTGGTCTACCTTTAATAAAATGTACAAAAGCTTTTGCAGTTGACTGTATATAAACTAGGCCTTTCCTCAGTAAAGTTACGTTATACTACGCCCACGTCTTTTTTGTTTCTTTTTTTAAATCTATATTATACATATACAAGGACTACCATAATTTTCGTAGCATACCACGGGTACGAAAAAGCATGCCTTCAAAGTACCATCTTGTACATACAGGAACGATTACATATACCTGTTCCGGACAGTCTCGAGGCAGGGCTGTTCCTCCCGTCGTTAAATCGTTCCATTATCGGCGATCAATGACGCGAGGTATGCGCAGCTACAATGTAACTCGAAGGAACGGATCGATCTGTACACGTAGACCGTGTCATCGGACAGGTTGAATATTCTTAAGCCCCTTTCATCCGTGGTTGGGACCAACCGGAACGCCCTGCCACTCCCCGGTAGTTGTTGACCAATGTTTATCGTTGGTGCACTCGCTCGATATTTGCATGATAACAGACTGCCGATCGTTATTATCTGTCGCTTCGATACAGCAGCATAATTTTCGGGAAACCGTCTGGCTGCAATACCTAACTGCTGTTCGTAACTATTTATTTCGATATTTATATCGTAAATTTTCGCGCAACGGTACTAACGTTGTATGCGCAGACTGTTCTACTGGTAATCGTGTTCACAGGGTGTAAGCGTTCTAACTGTAGTTACGTTTTCTGTTAGGTTTTCGAGTGCATTTTTGGTGGAACGTGACCGAAGAGTGGCAATCGTGGTTGTTGGAATTTTTTTAATGATACGTGATACCGTGGTATTGGTGTTCGAAGGGAGTTAATGTAGGGTATTATTCGTAATGTTTCCAGGAGATTGGTGATAAGATGATTTTTTTAGCGTTTGTGGAATAGAAGAGTTTTATTTCTGTTTTGAATGGCACTTGTTTACCGTTGGATGTGTAACGAATAATTTGATTGGGAATGTTTTGAAAATAGTTATGATATGCATAAGAACGATCTTGATCCCTCGTGGGACGTACGTTTGATTCCTTTATAAATTTTATAATTGGAATTGGGTGCTAGAGATTTTTCTATTTTGTGGAAAAGGTGTGACTTTATTATACAAAAGTAGTTCGATCCCTTAAGATTCATATTTGTTGTGCACTAACATATCCTCTGGATTATAATTCTTGGATTGTCTTTTGGCACTCAATTTTCTTAAAAATCTAATTCCCAAAGTACAAGAAGTGTTTAATTAACAATCTTTCGCGATTGCGATTTAATCTATGACATGAAGTTGAAAAACGGTACTTTACTGGTGAACTACGTTCATGCATATTTAAGCGACTTCCAAGTTGGAGAAGCTGCTGCGACAGGGTGTGCGATTAATTTTGTTCTTTAAGCGTGAAATTCGTGAAATTAGCGATCGTTGATTGTAAATTTGCGATTTATTAAAGAATTTTCGACTAACTGTTTGTTTCAGAACTTGAATTGGTAAAACTGCCGGAAGATATGACCTTGGCAGGATTCACGCCACTGATGTCGAATCCGCAAGATCCTTGCTACGCCGAAAAAACCGAAGATATGGTAGGTCATTTGTTATGTATAAATATATTACATACAGATGTAAGTAATAATAAAATATTCTTGCTGTATTTTCATTAAAAGCCTTATAAAAAATTGTTCATATGGTGAAGTATCGAAAACGTTAATAAGTACGTTATAACATAGTATTTTTCAACTTACTTGTAAATTATCTTTAAATAAATATTGCTCAAAATATTCTAAAATTTCCATCAAACTTAATAGGGACGCAGATATCGTTTCCCGTAGCTTATTTGTAATAAACTTCGAACAAAGGTCGATCTCTCTCGTGATTGAAATTTCAAAACAGACTTGCGTCCTCCGTTCTCTCTTCCGTCCACACTAAGTCTTGGCTCATGTTGTATTCCAGGAAGTTGCTCAAGTGTGCCTCAGGATAAACAAGATTCTGTTCTTCGGCCAAGTGTTCCTGTGCGGCCTCGAGACGCCGGTATTGAAGTTGCAGAAGAGCGAAACTGGCATTAGCGAGTACGTCTCCGTGGTGGAGGCATCGAGCACGAGCACGCCGAGTTCACCACCAGAGCAGGTAACTAACTTGCAAAAAGAAAAAGGAAAAGTCAATTAACCTCCTATGATCGAAATTTTATTTACTTATGAAGAGATTGCAGATTTTATGCGTTGTTGATATAGGGAGACCAGATATTCAGTTTCCCATTATGTTGAACAGATTTTAAGGATATAGCAATTTCATTATTTATACATTTCGTGTCTTTTAATTCATTGTATCATCTCTATTAAAAATAAATTACATCATATTTAGACTTGCAGACTCAAGACCTCAAGAATCAATTTGTCATTATTAATAATTAATTTTATAACTATATAAGTTTTTGGTTAAGTAATACCTTGATTAACAAGTTGATCCAAGATCTAATAATTATTATAAATAATTTTTCTGTATAATCGTGTATTCATAAAGTTCAATAATCTGATAATAAGTTCAATATAAAAAATAAAAATTTCAAAACTTGAATATTGTTGCACTCGAATTACGCGCGTTTAACGTTAGCGCTCACCGATACTGTAACAGTGGGCGCCACTGCTGCGCCGAAAATCGCGCTGCACTCCCACGCATGCGCGACGCCACTTTGCTTTCGCGTTTCTTAGTTTCATAAATTTACGCGATATTCTCTTTTTTCGTCAATATTTGCATTAAAGTTGATAAACTTACTTGATGCATAATAATTATCAACGTGAAGTTTATTTTGTGCTCTATATCAGCTTCTAATAACGAACATATTGATATGTAAATTTTACAACAAGTAATTTAGTAATTTTTAATAGCATGTACAAGGTTATGAAAGGTTATCACGTTACACTACAGTTACAGTGGATGCGTGACCTAATGATTGAAATATTTGAAGATCGAAATGCGTAGGTATGCTCATAAGAATTTATATACATATTTCATAGTTTCGACGTATTCCTCGGAAAACAGTAAACTTAACCTTATTAAGGACGATAGTCATACGACAGTGCTTATTTAAATTCCAACAGATCAGGGGCTCGGATTGGAACAGGCGTAGGGATTTTATTCCAGGAATATTCTCAAGAATTTGATCAACGAAATACAGTATATCAAAAAGCAAAAGTTTTAGTTTAACCAATTGATTATTTTTATTGTGTATTAAGGGGATAAAACTGTACTATGCTGAGTTTGAGACATTGAGTAAGAGGAAGTTTAGTGAATCTAAATCATTTGAATTTAGGGATCCTCTTTTCAAATTTACCTCATTAGAATCTAAAAAAGCATGACTATATTTCACATTTCCTAGAAAAGCTAAATTCTCTCGTCAGTGTCCATTTTTCCACGACACGAAATGTATTAAACACGTTAGCAAAGTTACTTAGCGGATCTTCCTCGTTGAAAATTTTCATTTGGCGAGGAAAAAGAATTTTGTTTAAGGACGATGGCAACGATCTTTATTCTTCGTTCCCCCTTTGTGAATTATTCATTCGTTCATTCGCGTTCGTTCAGGAGCAGATGGAATTTTGATGAAAAGGGATTAACGTGTCGTTTAGGGAAATTGAAGGGAAGGGGTAAATGTGGTAAGAAGAAAAAGGGAGTAGCTGTTTGGCGATATCGTTATGGAGGATTTTCATTATTGAATTGATATTGGGAAATGGTAGATAATTCGGAAGGGTAACGTAAACTGTGAAATTTGAGCCACTCAAAATTATTCTTCTAATTCAAAAAACGACATTGCCTTTCCACCAATGCAATAAACAAACACAAGTCAATTTATACAAAACTCTCTAATCATTTTCATCAAAGGAATTTAATTTCACGAAACACATCTAGAAAGATCAATAAGAATAAAAAACTGAGATGAAACAAAGTAATTTATGGAGAAAATTAGTTCCAGCTCCCTTTTCTCATACTTGTCGTCCCGAGTAATGAATTCAAACGGAATCCTTGATTCGTTTTCAGAGCGACTCGGAGCTCCTGGTGGAAAGTTACAGCGAGGGTGAAGACGAGCCAGTTTCCACCCTCAAAAGATTACCCTCGTGCACAGACGTACCTGACGATAGCATCGCGCCCGTAGCCACGGTTGAGATAAGGTCGTTGATCGAGAGAAAAGAAGAATTGGAGAGGCGGCAGCGGAAACAGGATCGTCATAGACAGCGAGTGCAGGTGAGTGGTAAACACCTAATACCTCCAGACTGTATCGTTGCTCGTTAAACGCATAGATAAATGATCTATCGAGCTGTCCGATCGATATCGAGTATCGATTGATCATTGTTCGCTATGTTGTTGTAGACGATGTATTTGGTCGAAGCTCGATGTTGAAACGAACTGTGAGGAAGATGAAAGCGAGGAAATATTTGTTTAATTGATTTTTGAACCAACGATTTGCGTTCTTCGTAAAATATTTAATATATCATCATTTTTACTTCATTTTACGAAATAAGTTTTTCTTATTGTTATTTATGGGGAGGACATGCGAAATATTAGATAAAACTGAGAGGTTTAGAGAATAGGAGTGATACGATTGATAAAATTGTTATTTTGGGTGGGAGGGGGATTGGAAGTTTAATAAATTTAATATAAGTATATCGAATATCTTTTGTAAAATCACGTTGTAACGCGATTTTACATTTGCAATTATTCATTCTGTGATCAAACATTCTTGGCCAACCGATCAAACTGGAAAAAACCGAAATTTCCAAATTCACACCGACCTACTGGAAACTTCTATAAATAAAGATGTCAGCTCGATATCGCGGGGTTCGATGATTCCAAGTTCAAGATACATCCATCGGTTGTTTCTCGTATCTTCATCGTTCGTTCGCGAAGGTAGCCGACAAAGTGGCCAAGGGAACACGTACCATGGACCCTAAGTCAAACTAAATCAAGAGATTACCAGGACACGCTGGTTGCGTACAGTTGCCTGGTCGTTTCTTTCGTTCGTTCCTTCGTTTCTTTTCTGCTCGTATGCTCTCTTCTCGATTCGATCTCGTCTTTTTATTTCGGGCCTCTTTTTCTTCTTCTTCGTCTTCTTCTTTTACGCGCTGTGATCGCAGCACGCAAGCCCACCATTTTTATTTACGGCATCGATGCTCCTCCTTTTTGCATATTTATTATTGAACCCCTGACTGAGGCTGGATTATGCGTGAACTATGTAGTCTTTGGGTCTCCGTTTTGCTTCTCTGCTAGCTAGAGCATATTTTTTATCTGGGTGAGACGTAAAAGGAAGTATATCGATAGTAAATTCGTTTACGGTTGCGAGTACATAAATTTTTGTATTTCGGTGATTGATAAATTTATGAATATATTATTGGTTTTATTAATTTAATACTTTACGGGGAACTCCTTCCAGAGTAAAGTAAAGCCTTTTATGGTAAATTAAGTCTCTGGCAATAATGTCACGTCAAGCCTGCCGTCAATCATTTAGGCATATCTGCAGCTTAAAACGAACTAACTTCGTATTATATTACAAATAAAACTGATCTAATTAAGGAATTTATAGACAATAAAAAGATTTAACAAAGCTATACAAAGAACGTTTTAATAATTAATAGAACTTCGAAGTAATTAAGAATTTTACGTAATTATATAAAATTAAATATTTAGTAGTATTACCAATTATAGGGTTATATGTGATACGAACATCTTTCTTGAGATGTCGAATGTAAGGATGATATATATATGTTGATTTTATCTTTATAATGAGTATCCTGTATCTTAAATAATGTGTAATACCGAATTAATGTTTCTACTTTGTTTCGTGGACCGTGTGAAATTTTTAGATATTGGGTAATTAGATACGTGTTAGACGGTTTGTAGAACTCTAACTGATTATTTCCTGTTCGCATTTAAAATGATGTTCCATTTGTATTCATGAAACAAACGTAACAACATTTTCCAATTTGTTTCAAGTTTTACGAGGATAATCATGATTGTTGTGTCCCATTGCGGTGCTGATGAAATTTCAAAATGTTTTATATATGTTCATAAAAATCTCCTGTAAATATTCAAATATTTTTCTGGGCCACTGTAGCAACCGCGAATCATATTGCATCGTTGATATAATATACACTTTATGATTCTTTTAAAACTGACCATGAATTACAAGTGCTATAATTCAAATCTCGACGGAATTACAACAAAAACCATTTAATACACATTCGTTTTCCACCCAGTACCACCAGAGACTCGTAATTATCCACACTGCTTTCACCGTAATATCTTTTCTGCCGACATCAACCTTTCAACTTTAATACCCGTCCGTTTCTCATTCTCTCTCGCTATACACACTTTTAATTCTTCACACTGCATCAAAATTCTCTTTCCACTCGGCCAACCAACGAAATCCCCTTCAAGAGTATCTACCGAATTCGTTTCGCCTTGCTCGCATTATCTTCATCCGCGCCCTGTCGACTTTTTTCGTCCTTATGCGGGGAGGTAAAATAAATTCGCCTGTATCTGCTGAATTTTTGCCAAGCCGCTGGTCTTATCGCAGTCACAGTTTCGCCATGGAACAGGGAATATCATGGTAGAATATAAAGTTAGCTTGGTTGGACGTGGAACGATAAAGGGACTCGGTGACAAGCGCGCCGAAATAAAGGACACCTTTTGATATCCGAATGGTACACGGCTCGGTAGTCTGTTCGATCGGATCCTGGTTGTTGTATCGCTGCTCGTTCTTCTTTCCTGAAGTATCCCAACCCTCGCTTTCGTTGTCCGAAACGTTCCGTTTTTATGAATGCCGTGTGGCTGATAAGCTGGCGTTGTGTTTCAATTGCATTATAGTAGGATGTTGGTATTGGTCATTGACAAGAGATTTTTAGGTAAAGCTTTGTTTGAAAAATTGTGCAAGTTTTAAGAACGGTCTTCTGAGATTGGAAATTCCAGAGTTTCTGATCCATAGCCTATTTAGATAATTCCATAAATAACGCGAATAACTTGTTACGATGAAACTCTTTTCATAAGGGAAACTTAACAGAAGGATGACAGAGTTGCAGAATTGCAGAAGGCGCCTTCTCTAAAACAGCATAAGATAAAAGAAATCACTTCGTCTTCTAAAATGTACTTATCGTATTTTTCTCCTGTTATCTTCATGCATGAATAGATTAAAAAAAATGTTTGTCATAAATTGTTATATCATTTACGTTTCAGTACAAGCAAGCTATTATACTTTAATGTGTCACTGGTTGCAGTAATTTTCGCAAGTAGGTTCACTTAAATGCATGTTTTATTTGCATAGCCACATAATTGAATGCATAATTGGGCCGGTTTTTATTCATGTCAGACTAACTGTTGATTTGTCAGATTCTCAGGGATCACAGTGGGAACGAAATTGTATCTGCTACGACCCGTGCCGGTATTCGCGTTATCTTGTTTTGTAAATAGGTACACTTAATGTTGAAGTCGCGTGCGCCAATTATCTCTGAACCGAAAGCAGCAACCTGTTCGCGTATATCTGGAACAATTTCCACGTCAAGTGGAACCTGTTCCACCTGTGTCGACGTCCAATTATGTCATTCGTCAAGGGGATGCTCCGAATTCGTCCGTGTCCCTACCGGCCAAATGTAAATTGCGAATAAAAACATCGTGTATTTAATTAGCTTAAAATTTCGTAAAAATAATGTCGGTCTTCATTTGCATCAAAAGCATTTGCATGAAATTAAGCAACATTTCAGGTTTTGTAACTGTTTCTGATATACAAGATTAAAGGGGTAAAGCAAAATATGGAAGTAAAAGTAAGGTATGCGAACATAGCTGTTCTTGCTGTTTAAAGAACAGTTCAAATGAAACTGTTTGGCAATTAGTATTTTTATCGCATTTCTGTTACTTTGTCGAACGTTGAAAATAACGAAAAGCCAATAGCCTTTGACTGACAAAATTAACTGCGCTTTCTAATTATTCTTTCGTTTACTTTCTTGCTCGTGTAATTATTGCATCTGAAAGATTATAAAGAGTGATTTAAAAATAGCAACTTCTCGTCTAAAAAATCAAACGGCATTTCTTGATTATTATCTTCCCATCATCTTATTCTCCTCCGATCGTTGCAAATCTAAAGTTTCAAAAGGCGAAATAAAAAGCAGCCGTATCGAACACAGTCATAAATCTTCATTTTTTCCAAGATCCAAAAACAACAGTTGCCCCTATCATCCTTCGAGCCAGAATACACTCGAGACACGTTGCAATTACTTGGCCGGGCATCAAATAATCACGCACCGAAAGCAAACTAGTGCCGTGGGTACGTCCGAAATTAACTTGGTGTTCCGAACCCGTTCCTCCATTAGCGACGTCCAATCGTTTCGGTCATCAGGGTGGCAGGGGGTTTACTCTAAATCTCCGCGATACTCATCCTGATAGATTGCGCTTGTTACTTTTTTTCTTCTTATCTCTCCCGCCGAAAATTCATTCGCCACGAGGGATATAAATCTTGAAGGAAATAAAGGCGTGTCCCGCGCGCATCCAGTCAAAATTTCGCGTGTTCTCTCGGAGCACGTTCAACTACCAGTTGGGTAATGTTGCCTGTTTAATTCTCTTTTAATCCGAACAACGATGCGACCACTGTATTTTCAGCGACACCAATGCGAGCTGCTAGGTGCCATTCCGCACGCGATTTCGCGCCGGAACGTTGTGGCGTTTAGTGCTGGAGAAAGCTATGATTTTTCTTATTTTCTATTATCTGATATCTGTCTTTTTCCGAGTTTTTATACCCTCAAGAAATCTTAATCAGTAATCTCAATATACACTTTCAACTTTCAGCACTTTCTACCTGAGTTTTTACAGAATTATTCTAAATTCGATATTTCTATATATAAATAGTAAGAAACAATTCTTTTATGAAATACTCATAACGTTTAGTTTTCATCAAGAATCGCCTTTCATCGTGTGTTTTCGCGACAGAAAAATCACGAAACAATTTTAAACGAAGGATAACAAAGTTTTGATTATAGCAAGTGCCCGAGTGACCCTCGATTTTACACATGAAAAGAACCAGTACCACGACCATGTCCATGAATATGTTAATTTCATTTGAAAATATTTGGCAAACAACTCAGGCATAAAGAATCATATTCTATTGGATCAAGACGCTATAACGGACGCGTGAGAACGAAAGCCCGAAAATGCAAATTTGATTGCTCGAAAGAAGCGACGTAAAAAGTGGTTCTGGGTAA